GATCCACTCTAAGAGAGCTAGTTCTGCCCTAGGACTCAATGCTATACCTACGCCGGCAAGGCCACGGGAAGCAGAATCAGGGCTACCAGATACACGAAGCGTAAATCGAGTCGGTTCTTTATTTTGGCATGGTGAGGTCAAATGAATGACGCTACTTGGATCCTGTATGCGCGTTTCGGAGACGCAGCACACATGGATGGTGCGAGATTCTAAAGTTTTAGCTAAGGAAGCCTGCTGTCCTATTTGGCACAGTGTTCGTACGTTAAAAGCTCCTACGTGTAGTTTAGAGCGTGGTTTCAGGAGACCAGGAATAGCGTTCCGCGTACTCCAATCGTTTGCCCCAGCGGTGCGAGGTGATAAAGAGACGTGAGGAGGGTTAGTCATGGAGATAAGAGAGGTATTAGGAGGTGTAGGAAGGATTGAATGTGACCAACTTGGTCTCGTGTGCTGTTACGGGTATGAGGGCTGATGTCACTTCCCGGCTACCCACACCGTGGAAGGGTATTTCTTGAGGAACCTGGAACGGAAATTGGATTAGTGTTGGTCTTAACGACCTGGGAGCGTGACCGCAGAGCCCAAGGGACAACTGCTTGTGGCCGGTCGCGCACGGCTTTTTCGTGGAAGGTTTTTGACGTGTTAGCTCCGTTCCTCAAAGGGCCTTACCGCCGGAGACGGAAATCCGTGAGGTGCGACATTTTTAGAGTCCACCTTTTCTAACCCCCCTCCTTGTGGGAAGGCAGCATCGCTGTCATGCTGGTTGTCTGAAGGAAACACCTTACTGCTGTCACACCCCTCTACAGTCAGCAGTACGACTTCGCCCTCAGACCTTGAGTAGCTGTTTTCAGTCTTACTGTTCTCCAACCGACCTGCCTGGCATGGTAGAACCTACAGGAACATATGTTCCAGCCAATATAGCTCGGTTGGGTCATCACGATAGGCAAGCCCGACCACCGCGTTAAGGTAGCAGCTTCGGTCGGGCGTATACGTACTTGAAGTCGATAAGTGTACCTCTTAGAAGATTAGTCTTTGAAAAGTTAAATGAGTGTAGTTCCGTAGGAGGATATCAACGACAAATTTGGGTAAAACTCAAAGATGTTGAACAACCCTGACAGACGCCACTTCGTATTGACAGTTCCTTATAAGCTCTGATTCGGCCAATGGCGTTTTAGTTAGAGAACCGCCGCATTACTTATGTACTTCTTTGGTACGCCTTCCAATGACAAAAGTTGTCAGAAATCGCCCCGGTCAACGGAGTCGAGCGTCGGTATGTCTATATCCTGAAACCGGGTGAATAATTAATCGGTCTCACTGACGACTGATCTTTTAACAAATGGTTCGTTGATGAGTCGAAATAATTGTTAAGTTTTATCATTCCCTAGTTCATTTTCCATCCCTCGCTTCCGTTGACCACCACTGTTCACCATGCTAGCCTATGTTTAAGTTCTCTGCGAGCCTGTCAGAATCAGTTTCCGAGTAATTTGGTGAGATTAGAGCTTTTGAAACCAACGGTTTTTCTTAACCTTCCGATTAAGGTTGGTGGCAGATATAACTGTTGTATTTGCAGCCATATGGATATCTCTAGTTTCTTCGGAATAGAGGCAGTTTCTAAGATGGACCAAGTAGATGATCACATTTGAGTTCCGTCTGCATTTTAAAAAGGGTGCATCGATGCGTGAAATTCTACGATCTCAGCTAGTAGGGGTTGTTATCTCATTTGATATAGGGTTCGTAGTTCAGAAATTCCAATGTATATTTCTAATCTTGGAATGAGCTGTAAGCTTTCTACTTACAAGGGGAAAATTCAAGTTGAAGGATCTATTCATACGCTTGTATTTGAAAATATATACATTCACAAAATATAATATGTGAGGGATTTATGTGAAAGTTGTTGTTGGCATTACTATGCATGTTATTATTCAAGGTGATGTTTTTTTCATTTTCGGTTTTGACTTTGGGCCCCAATTTTTCTCAGGATTTATCTGATATCTGTCAAGAAAGAAAAGTTGAAATGAATGAAGTACTTTTAGTGTCATATTTTAAAACAGAACTGGTGATTTTTTATAAATTTGGAACAAGTAACTTATTTTTGTATGCAGTTAGACACTTTTTGTTTATCTACTAATTTGCCTTCTTCAATGCCCGATCGAAGCTGCTACCTTGACGCGGTGATCGGGCTTGCCTATCGTGATGACCCAACCGAGCTATATTGGCTGGAACATATGTTCCTGCAGGTTCTACCATGCCAGGCAGGTCGATTGGCGAACGGTAAGACTAAAAGCAGCAACTCAAGGTCTGAGGGCGAAGTCGTACTGCTGACTGTAGAGAGGTGTGACAGCAGTAAGGTGTTTCCCTTGGACAACCAGCATGACAGCGATGCTGCCTTCCCACAAGGAGGGGTGGGGTTAGAAAAGGTCGGCCCTAAAAATGCACACCTCACCTTACCTCACGGATTTCCGTCTCCGGCGGTAAGGCCCCTTGAAGAACGGAGCTAACACGTCAAAAACCTTCCACAAAAAGGCCGTGCGCGACCGGCCTCAAGCAGTTGTCCCTTGGGCTCTGCGGTCACGCTCCCAGGTCGTCAAGACCAACACTAATCCAATTTCCTTTTCAGGTTCCTCAAGAAATACCCTTCCACGGTGTGGGCAGCCGGGAAGTGACATCAGCCCTCATACCCGTAACAGCACAAGAGACCAAGGTGGTCACATTCAAATCCTTCCTACACCTCCTAATACTTCTCTTATCCTCCCGACTAACCCTCCTCACGTCTTTTTATCACCTCGCACCGCTAGGGCAAACGATTCGAGTACGTGGAACGCCATTCCTGGTCTCCTGAAACCACACTCTAAACTACACGTAGGAGCTTTTAACGTACGAACACTTTGCCAAATAGGACAGCAGGCTTCCTTAGCTAAAACTTTAGAATCTCGCGCCATCGATGTGTGCTGCGTCTCCGAAACGCGCATACAGGATCCAAGTAGCGTCATTCATTTGACCTCACCATGCCAAAATAAAGAACCGACTCGATTTACGCTTCGTGTATCTGGAAGCCCTGATTCTGCTTCCCGTGGCCTCGCCGGCGTAGGTATAGCATTGAGTCCTAGGGCAGAACTAGCTCTCTTAGAGTGGATCCCAATAGACAGTCGTTTGTGCGCTGTCCGACTGAACGGAACAGTAAGAATCCGGAAAAATAGGGACACTCGTCGTTGCCTCTTCGTCGTCTCTGCCTATTCTCCCACTGACTGCAGCTCAGATGATGTAAAAGATGAGTTTTACAGAAAGCTTTCGGACCTTCTCCGAAAAGCTAGGCGCTCATATATCATGGGACCATCGAGTAAGTAACACAGTTGTTAAGAAACCGGTACTAGGTAAGGATGGCAAATCAATTGATGACGTAGTGAAACTTCATCAGTTGAGATGGCTGGGACACGTGTTACGTATGCCCAACGACCGACTGCCTCGACGTGCTATGTTCAGTGGTATAGGAGTAGGTTGGAAGAAAGCTAGGGGCGGCCAAACCAAAACATGGCACAAGTCCATGAAGTCACTGACAAGTGAACTGAGTCATGTTGGTAGGTGTAGACTACCTGGTTGGGGACCGCGAGATGACAGCAACCGTTGGTTAGAGACCCTGAATGACATGGCTCAAAATCGTTTGCAATGGCGCAGGTGCATCCACTATCTGTGTTCTCCCAAATTCTAATCTTCTGAATTCTTCATGTCCCTTTTTTTCCTCTTTCCAAATTTCTTTCACTGGATTATACTCTTTAAATAACATCTCCAAACCCTAATCTTCCCGATTACTGCTTATACTCTTATTACCTCTACCACGACGGGATTTGAATCGACAAGTGCATCTCTGTGCTAACGTGGTGTGGCAACTCGAACTGATGTACGTACGTACGAAGTTCTACGTTGATACTGACTGACTGACTGCCTTCTTCAATGAAACCAGATATATTGATAGTAACCAGTTTGCTTTTAATCTGTATACAAGAGTATGTTTCAGTAAGAATTTACGGGACAGCTTTTAAAAGTTCACTCTTTCGGTCTTTGAATAAATCTGTGTTCTAAATTTAGGGTGTTTCATAGAGTTATGAAGTGGTGGCTTAGTGATTCAAGAGATCGATTTCCAATCACTAGGCTGGTGATTTGAGTCTCGTTTCTATTATTTCAGTTTAGGCAGCTAGGATAATTAAAAGTAATCGAATTGGTGTTCTAAGAATTCCCAGAATAATTCAATTTAAGGCAGGTGGAAGTCGATGAGCACAACTGAACGCATTGTTTTTGGGATTTGAATTAGCCGAGGAATAATGTACAGGGGAATCATTGTTGTATATAAACATCACAGAAACCCAGTAATATTACTAGCTCATATTTGAGTGCACAAACATACTTAGCAAATGAGTTTCCCAACAAAAATTTTCGAAATTGGTTCAATTTTAATTTAATCAAACAAGACAAGTGTTAACTATCCATTAAATAAAGCCTCCAATCTGTACACAAGTTCTTGTCTGATTTTGACGTCAACCTAATACTGTTTCCATTTTATATTTGAGAATGTGACCCTATTTTCTAGTTGCTTTATACATCCTCTTAGTGTTTTCAACCTTATTAGCTTTCAGCATTAATTCATTCGTTTTACCTTCTGACTAGTTTGATCGCTAGGCTCTGCGAGATTGTGTCATTGAAAGTTGTACCAAGGAAGTACATCAACTTTGTACAGGCTCTTCGCTCTTAAACTGCTGGACGAGCCAAAGCTTATTGCGAACCGTCATTAGAATTTTCAACTTCAAGTGGTGTCCGTCAGAACTTTCCACTTTCCTCATTTTTATCTAACTTCGTCATAGACATCCTCTTAAAATTAACGCTCTGATCGTCCGAATTTATGGGTTGATACCCTACCAGGAAATTCAGTTGTTGTTCTAGACTATACAGATCGTATAATTATGTTTGAAGACATACAGAGTCTCCTGATCTCCTTAAGCAATAATGCAGGTATATTTAGATTGAGATTTCCTCCTTCCAAATTCAAAATGTTGCTTCAAAACTGGGTGATCAGCGCTTGAATTAATGACAGGCAGTGAATTATTTGGGTCTGCCGAAATCTCGTTACGGACTTAGAAAGCTCAACTGGCTTTTGCCAACTTGTGACATAGGTGTAACATTTGTCTACCAACCAAAGGACGAGTCTACTACGCAACAGTCTACTTCTTTTTACTCTATGGGTGTGGAAAACGGTCATTAACGATAGAGGATATTCGCACGTTACTAGCGTGCGATTATAGGTGTCTTCGAAGCATCGCTCGTTCATTTCGGGACTAACAAGTGAGTACCAGGGTTGAAGATAGGGTACGAGTTAAAAATGAAAAATCGATAGACGAAGTAGCAAATCTTCAACTGAGGAGCCTGGGGCGTGTGTTACGTATGCCTATCCACCGCTTACCTAGAAGATCGATATTGTCTGGTGCAGGAGTAGGTTGGAAGAAAGTTAAGGGTAGCTAAGCCAAGATGAAGAACCAGTCTATGAAGAAGTCATTGATAAGTGAGCAGAGCCATATTATTAGGTGTAAACTACTTCGTTAGGATCTGCGAGATTATCATAGCTAATGATTAGAGATCTCGAACTATATGGTTAAAAGTCGTTTGCAATGGCGCAGGTACATTTACATTTTGTCTAATCCTAAGTTTCTGGATTTCTCATAACCTTTGTATTTCGTTGATTTTGGTTTTCTTGAATCGTAATCTTCGGTGCCTAATCCTTCCTATTGTAGTGGCTTTGGCTCGTTAATCAATCACCTCGATAACCGTTATAATATAAATCTTAACAGTTTGAAATCAGAAGGCAATGAGAAGCGGCAACTACAGTTTATTTGCGGATAACGCAGATTACAAAGCTATAAGCGCATCAAGCGAATTTGAAGCAGAGGGGCGAATATATGTATATATGTGCAAATACATAAGCAAATTTATAGTCAGATCGCATAAGTGCACAGGAAAATCTAATAATAGGATTTGAGTACATAAATACATGAGGAAGAGAATGAATCATCGAGGGATATTTAAGCAATCAACATTTTAGCTAGTCTTTCATGTGGTCTAGTGATCATAACAGTACAAAGAAATAGACGGATTGTTACTATTCGAATAACGTTGTTTGTTAAGTTAATAAAAGGGATTAACCATAATCGTAATTGATTGTAGGATAGTTGTTATACTATTACCACCAGCACTGTTACTACCTCTACTACTCTGGGATTCGTCCTAACAATTTAATCTTGGTGTGCTAACAGGGTATGGCAACTTGAAACGATTTGAACACACATTAGGTCTCAGGTTGAATTTCGCTGAGTGACTGCCATCTACACTAAGACTAGAACTCAGAAATTAAGTGTTGACTAATGTTGGGATAGGTTAAAACAATGATGCTCATCAAAGGTCTCAGTTCTATTCACTTCGGTTTCGCAATCGACAAGTCGATTATTTTATAATTTCAGAGTCACTTTCATTGAAAAGTTATCCGATTTTTACAATTTCGTACCAATTACAACTAATACAGTTCCCAAAACTTGAAATACTTGTCCATTTTTAATTACTTGTTCCAATCTACCGTGGTGTACGTTTACCTCATACAAAACTAGCAACTATTCAATATCGACAGATTTTTAAAAAGGTACTTCACTTACCTAACTAGACCATCATTTTTGATGGAGGTTCAGCAAGCGGATGACGAGTGAAAGATACTGATGGATTAATTGGTCTGGTTCGTAAGCTGATGCGTACTGTTTGACTATGTGAAACATTACTATCCGATTCAATATTTGTCTCTTCCATGTTCGATGAGATTTTCAAGTTACCATCAGCATGCTTCTTTCTTCTGAAGCGTCTTCTGCTTCGAACACTGACCTTTGGTGTTGCGTTTACTTCTGTTTCGGGATCTCCTTCATCATCATTTGATTCAAGGTCAGGTTTTTCTCTTTTACAGTTTGTTCCAGTTCTATCACAATGAGATCGAAAACAGTCGAGTACAAATGAATGCGGAGCATCTGTTTTCAGAGAATTTTTATCAGCATGCGAGCAAGAAACACGGTAGTTGGCATTCAGAAGACAAGAACTAATGAGCAGAAAAAGTCAAGATATCAGTTAAGTGTTTTAAATAATTTGTGTAACAGATACTAACTGGTAGTTAAAAATGAGATGTAGACTATCCGACTATGTAACAAACGTACAATGCTTACGTGATAGCAGTTTTCATCTATTCATGTCTATGATTTAATTCACGATTACTCGTCCTTTGAAAAACAATTATAATGGAGATTGAAGTAAGAATCTACATAAAACTGCAACTTATTCATGATGACATTAGAGGTGTTTACTAATTCTTAGCAAAATGAGAGTATTCAAAATTAGACATCGAATTAAGGTTGCACTATAAATCGATCCACGTGTTGATGTGAGATTGAGCGACAGTGAATAATTAAATTGATCATAGAATCCCAACGCTCTCGGGAGTTCTGATTTGCCTAGACATTTAGACAAATCGTAAGTATTCAGTGTTAAATTTTAGCGACGTTTTGTTTTCCATTTAATTTTAACTGAGCGTGGGTAGCGTACACTAGTAAATGAGTCAGATCGCTAATTACATCAAAATTATAGAAAATAGAAACCCAAGTGTTGTGATCAACGTGGTATCACTTTGTTACTGTTTTCTGAGTGATGCGAAGATTAACCAACCCTTCTTCTTGTGCTATATTAACACATTTTGTGTAAATTTTACAGGATACATGAAATAAAGAATTTCCATTGACTTTAAGATTTTTCCTGAGGGCTTTTACGGGCTTCGTGGAAATCTGTTGGAGATGCTAAATCACTAAATATAGCATTTAAGAAGAAATCAATCTTACGATTCATTCACTAAACTAAAATGAAACCTGTTCCTTGATCGTCAGTGTATTCCCATTTGTACTGATTCATATAATACGAAGTTAGTTTACGGAATTTCATTGTATTAGTAAATTTACTGCTATTCAGCATTTAAGTTATACCCTGCTTAGTTGGTAATCACTGGAATTAATCGGTATATTATTGCATTTGTCTTTTGAAGTAGATTGGAACAGAAGAGAATAGATGTGTAGTGAATATTGAATGTGGTGTTTCAAACAGTTGTCAAAATTAAGTGATTAATTCTGTTGTACAGATCGATTTTCATTTAGCAGGATGCAGTCATACTTTACTGTTTGATGTCTACACTTATACTCCAACTAAGTACCCACCATTTTAAATTCCAAAAACGACATAGTAGTAAGTTAGAAAAAGGCTACATGTAGCCAGATAAGGACATTGGATGGGTTAATGAAGTCACTGATTGTTGGTAGACTGTCAGGTTGAAGTCTGTGGGATTATAGTGATTAGTAATTGGATATGCTGTGTGATATGACTAAGAATTGGTCACTACGACATAAATGAATTCACTTTCTGCTCCTAGATCTTGAGTTCTAAATTCACTTTGCACATTTTATTTCGTGATCTCATTTTTTTCTCTTAAATCCTATTCTCTATATCTAACCATTTTTACCTATTATCACTACTTCTGCATTCATCTTAATAATTGTATATAGTGCTAACAACTTGAGAGAGTGCGTATTTCTGTTACGTTTTATATTGCTTGTGACTGACTGACATATCAAAGAACTATCCACTAAACTACTAATGAGTAACATCGTACGAATACCTATAAACTTCTACAAGTTTTTTTGCAACAGATTTAATGTCTTAATAAACAAAATGTTCTTAGTGTTATTCTCCAAATAACTGACTAGCTATGTTTTCAATGCGTTTTAAAAATGAATTCTGTTTTATTTATGGCCAATTAAGGCTATATTTAATGAACAGAAGGGATTGGATAGACATGATATTAATCCCAACTTAGAAATCAATACAATTGTGAATAGCGGAAAAAATGAGACCATTAGAACTATCCTTCAAAGCTAGAAGAAAAACATTTTTTAAACACATACCTACACTACTTGTTAAAGAAACTTTTATTAATCAAACAAAAAATATAAATAAAAAAGCCCACTTACTATAAGTCTGGTTGTTTAGGCATGGTACAACCAAAAACTGATGCTAATTGATCAATTATGTAATATAAAGGAACATCTGGAAGTTCTTCATACGCCACAGTAACCATACCGATGATACGTTTAAATGTGCGGTAATTTTTATTCGTTAGACTATGAGTTGATACCTCAACTTTTGATTCACTTGATCCAGTACCTGGATGGATAGAATATCAAAAAATGTTATTAGAGAGTGGCAACGAATAATTATCACTGAAGAAAATGTCACGCAAACAAACAAGTGTAGTAAAACTTCTTGAAAAGTACGTAGGTTTCAAGTGTAGAGCAAAGAGATGTTCATCAATCCTGCTTACATGGTAGCTTAGTGGTTAAGGGATTTGGCTTACAACCACTAAATTCCAGGTTTGAACCCCACTTTTGTTTGAGCAACTGGATAGTATCACTGGGCCTCACACTTGGATGGCGGCTTATACCCAAGTACCTGGTGAAAAAGTTAATTAAATCATTAAACCACCTCCTACTCTGAACTTTAATTTTGGCTGAAATAAAAGTTGGAAGAAAACTAGAGATAACCGACTGAAAAGATGACATCACTCCGTGAAATCAGTGACAGCTAGTTTGAGCCATGTTCGTAGTTGTAGATGTGTGTGAAGTCGTCGTAAAGAAAATCCTTTGCACTGAATTATCTTCATTCCTCCCAAAATGACCGAATGGATCTCTTTCGTTGTTAATACGATTTATTAAAATGAGAAAGATCAAAATACTCTACATAACTAGTACTGTTATCCCCCCGCCATAAAGCTAATATTTTCAGACCAATAATAAACACATAGTATAATTATTACCACTAGAAAAATGCATTTTGTGAATTAAACCAGAGAAAATTAAGGAGAAACCGTTCAAATCTTTACAATCGGACTGGTTATTAATCACCAACAGACAATTATATTTACCCATGTTCTTTATTATTCGCCATTCAACAGAGTTATTCTAATGAATGTATGCTGTATGATAATAAGCGCAGTTATATGCACAGAACATAAGAAGCTTTATATAATAGTTAGTCACACCCCACATGTAGGAGATTGTAATACAGCATTTTCACGACATTGGAACCAGCAACAGCACGACTAACAAGTTTTCGGTACATGTTTAAGTACAAACATTCAACAACTGGAATAAACAGGATACACTGGATATTACCCTCAAAAATATTATTCGGACTAAATTATTTTCTTTTTATCGCTTAATTACCAAAAGTCTAGTGTCTCGGCTACGAAAAATACCTGTTGAGATATTAGCGATTTACTTACACTTCGAATTTATTTGTTTAATAAACATTAGACTTTTCAGTATATCACCAGTCTAAATAATAGTCCACTGTCATTTCATGACTCGTTTTGAAGAAAAACTTTTGAAAATTTTTAGCCTATTTAGTCAGCTTAACTAAAAATAAGGACGATTAAAGGACCGTTCCGCCTTTCTATGATGTAACAACTCATACTGTCATCCCAATCTAGAGATAAGAATATGATGTCGGTGGCTTAAACATTTAATCCTTAGTCATTTGATTTTACGTTTGATCTTCGCCCCAGCTACATTGGTTAGGTACTGTGTTCACTCGAAATCAATCTTTAGACACTCTTTAAACCTTCTGTGCCTCTTTGACTGATCTCACTTCATCGAAGAAACCAACTAAATTCCTTCCCTTTGCCAATTGTAGCACTCTAAAACCAATAACATTAGACGAAACTGGCAATACAACACTAATTTCTACGGAAAACGAACACAATACCAACATACTTATGTCCAATTGTGTTGAAGATGAGTGATTTTCACCATTCAAACAACTTGATATACCATTGTCGACGTTTTTGGGAGGGTAGCCTAAATCCGAGAGAAACTCATGTAGGAATGTACGACTATGTAAAGGTCCAATCCAAATAGGACCAAACACATGAAATTTCGAACCGCATTCTATACACTGAGGTCCTATAGGTGGGCCAAGAGCTGCGGCAACTACTTTACTAGTATTAACTGCTTCTCCAAGAGGTTGTATGTGATAGGCCTAAAAACAATAAAAGGTAAACAAAAGTACAGTACGTTGTTCGGATGAAAATATCTACAAATTATTTGACTTACTGTAAATTATACTACACAAGTTGAATAAGTGTTTTTGTCTTTTTTTATTTCCGTTAATGATAGGGAGATTAATGACCAACTTTCAAATACTGTGATAATAAAATTAAGCAATTGCTTTTAGGATAGTCTACCTGACAAATCAGCTTTATTCAAACAGCTATTGAAAATCAGGGGGCACTGGGTAGCTATATTGTCCTCAGCGGTATGCATCTACGCACCCTCCGTCAGTGATTTAATCAACACTACGTGTCTCGATATTGGGTGATTAGGTTCAATCCTTAGTATTAACAATGAGTAACACAAACTCTAACAATTATCTTTCACGCTTTTGCTATAAGTCTTATTTTGTAGATTATCTTAAGCACGTATTCCTTCATATACTTTATCTTCCTGATAACAATCAAATGAACAGACTCTCATATCTCGCTTCCATATATTATTTTTATTCTTATTATTCTCCAACTTTAAATTCTGACCACCTTTAATGCCTCTGTTAATGACGCGGAAGCTCTTTTATAATAGACCCTTATATGTAAAAAACAACTATAAATAGAACTATGTAGCTTTAGTGACATCGTCCAGAAGGAAATTTTCTTTGTCGAAACATCATTCTTTTTTCTTTCATTATCGTATATCTGACTATCTACAACTGATCTTAAAATCTTAGATTATCCGAGATATTTCCGATAATCCAACGGACAAAATTACAATTCCAGACTACTAAACAGTTATTATTAATAATAAAACAAGATTTGGACGAAACGGAATATTCATAGTTGTAGAAATATTACTCACTAAACATCCACGACAAATATAACAAATACCATGTTTAGCTGCAATAGCTTTTACAGATATCGGACTAGACCAAACACGTACAAATACACGAATATAGAAATCCACTGACAACGATAACAAAGGTTCAATAACTTTACCATGCTGACTTGCAGCCAACTGCATAGCATTTAAAAGTATTCGTAATCCCTAAACCAAAAAAGCAATATCGATTACTAAACATGGTTATTATGATGAATGACATTTTTAACTTGGTTTTATGAATATGAAGATACAATTTGTTTTAGAATGGAAAAGTTAAACCCTGAATCATCTGCAATTCTAGAATAAAACTCATGGACGTAGATTCTGACTTTTAAGAAAAGGAGATCCTAAGAAATGGAATAGAAGTTTTATGATGTGCAAAAGACGAATAAATTAAGACATCATAACTTCCATCACATTATGAAACCTAGATATATAAATATGTCGAAGTAAGGTATAGATATGTTAGACTTATTTGACCTCTAAGGATTTCTAGGGGAATCATAAACAATGGAAACGGAGGAGGGATATACGTATTGCCGAGAAAGGGAAGTACTTTGAAGGACATAACGTTGATGTGTCCTAAGTCGTGTGGTCTTATGACCTCAGTTTGCGTATTTATTAGAAAAAAACTACATATATCGCATAGGTGAGGTAGTAAGTTGGTCTAAATTCGGCAGCAGCTACCTCGACATGTACGACAGAGGAGGACCACAACTCTTCACACAAAGTTCGTAGTTCAAAGCTGAGTACGATGTTACTTCGAAATAAATAAAACGACATTCTGTTACTGAGTATTTCGAAACCGATTTCAACTGATAAGACTTTTTTAGTCACAGCTCGAAATTCCAAAAGTCCTTATGGTTATTGATTTAAACATAAATATTGGTACAAGGAAGCACCAGATATGTATGCGCCACACAAAACAGTGAGAATGGGAAGAGAAAAAGAATGTAAGGTGCGTACGAGAAAAAAATAAAGAGAACAATAACGACCACAGATCAGTGTATGGTAGTGAAATAATAATGATTATAATGGGGGAAACGGAAAGGTACAACCAGAAAGAATTTTTCCAGTTAAGGAAGTTACAACCACCTTTTATGAAGTAAAAGGTTACAGCAGGTTCGCCACTGGCTTCTATTCTGAGCCATATCTGATAACGTCTCTAGCCACTGTGTTGTACCATCTCTCGGACTCCAGCCAGGAAGTCGACAAGGACGAACAGAAGCCAGTTCTTTGCATCTTCCTTTCATATCACGACACTATGTCATACGCTGACCACCTTTTCACTTTTTCTAACCAGTCCCAGCGTCAGCAAATAATGCACGACGTGGAATTTTCTGGGACGACATTTGCTGGAAATTGCTTTCTTTTAGTAGAAACGAAGAAAACTGTGAACGGGATGGTAATTTTCAGGCATTAATAAATGGATTTTCAGTTGGTTTTTATTCTATCTAGTTCACATTTTTGGGTGTCTTAATACTATTCCACAACATTTTCACATCATAATTACTCAACTAAAACATCATTTTGAGTTGACTATCACCCAATTATTCGCTGGGGAATTAAAAGTATATTCATCTGCCACCTAGTGAACGAAACCTAATCAATAGATCACTCTATGATAATATGCAAGAACCTAATAGGTCCGGCGCTTTGGCCAGGTTGGTGGACACGGAGAGTCCACCTAGGGGAGTTGGAAAGCTCTGATTCCAAACGAATGGTACACATGGGCTCCAGTATCCTGAGTGAAAAAATGGCGTATGAACCAATCGCTGGTCACCGGTTGCCATGGGACTGCATCTCCTCACAATGTTCCACTGCCTTATGGGTCAGACCTTTAGGTCCACGATTTAAATGAACAATTTTTTGAGCATGTTGAGGTGTGGCTCAAACGGTGATACTGGCCTTTCTAGAAAATAATAAATTATGGCTTAGTGAGTCGAAATTATCGATACTGCTATTTGATAAAACCAATGGCAGAAAACAGCTTTAATCAAATCCGAGCACTTATACACTTGTGCCAACAAGAGACTGTCGAGTTTATTGGGATGTACCCTGAGGACCTTACCGCGTATAGGTCCCGGATTTTTCTGAATAAATAACTCCTAAAAACAACTGGAAATACTCTCACTGCTTAGTGCTAAAATAAGTCTTCTGGTAGTATATTTGAAATGGAATAAAACGTGAAGCCATCAGAGAACAGAAATATTTGTTAGGAAGTGACTTTTCACTAGTTGCATACGCCATTGAGAACAGTAACCGAGAAATGAATTCAAGTGAAAGTTAGCGGAACTCAGAAAATTTGACATCATGCGATTTACTAGATCATAGTTTGTTATTATTTTACTGTGACTAAAGATTCAGAACTTACAACTTCATGTGTAGAGCCTGTTTTAATAGCCATCCCACCATATTTTCCCATCGAAGTTCCAGGAGTGCTCCCACATAACACAGCCAAATCTGTTGAAGTGACACAGAGAAGTCCACCACTCCGTAAACACTGGACGGCCGTGTTTAAAAACGGACTTGCTGTTCCAAATGGATCGATATCAACCACATCAAACCTAACAGCAGTCAGAAAAAGTTGGGTCACATGAAATACACAAACGAGACATAATCAGACTTTGCAACAATGAGACTACTAATTGAAGGCCATTGCATAAACATTACCTAATTAGTTGGATTGCTTTGTAGAGTTACAGTGGATATAATTTTATGACAAAGTACATATATGCATTCTGGATGTGGAAAACTTATATTGGTCAAGGTTCGTGAAGCTTTACGGTCAGCATTCACTAGTCTCAGGTAATTAATCTTGACTATGTTTTTCTTACGCATTCTAACTTTTCGATTACTGGTGTGAAGTGTTAGTAGCATGGGTTTAATCGTTAGGGAGAGGCAACAATTAAATTACGGATTCATACATTCCAAAAATCATGTTATACATAAAAAATAAATAAATTGTAATCACAACCGGACAGTGGTAGTATAACATATGACAGTGTCAATCAATGTAATTTATAACACTACATCAGAGTGACGAAACTTGGCAAGACTGAAGTCATGGGGATAAGAAATAGTAATAACACTAACGATAGTATGAAAGGAATCGGTTGATGAGTAAGAAACGTGTCGGCAATCTATAAGTGACAAAATATCCCCTTTATTTATCCTACCTACAGAAGACAAGTTAAGGAACTTTCTGGTGCTACCAAACACTAAAGTTGATTCAGCTGTTTTCTGGAACAATCCTGTATAATTGTGGACTATAAAAATCTCCTATGATCGGAAATATTCAGGGATATACAACTAGAAACTAGACTAACAAAAATACCTCACTGAACATACAACCAAATTTATTGCTTTTGCTTTTACTAATTAAGACCACATTTTAGATAAGCTTTCCGTGGATGCTCAAAATTAATTCTGATAATAAACATTGTTCGGCATTCCGTATATATATAAACAAATTACTGATAAATCTAGTTGTCATATGACCTTCCGAATTTAGTCATACGGAGATGCTTCAGCTGATGATTATTCGTGAACTGAATTAACACATTAGAAAAAAAAACAAACTTTTCGCCAAATAACCGACGTTGATGCATAAGGTCGACAGCGTCACCGCAGACTGTACTGACAATATTCTCCACATTATTGTGAGCGACATTCTTCTGTATCAAAGCAACAGCCTCTGGACTAAGATCATTGGCAATAATACTCGATACATTTGAAACTTCGAGAGCCATTCTAACAGATCTAATTCCGGATGCTGCTAATGCCTCCAATATCTTTAGGCCACAAGGAGAATCAGGAGTTTCTTTCGTAGTGATGCTTAATGGTCATCAAAAGGAATCATACCACTCATTTTGTCCTTCATTTTCAGAATAGCTTCTCTTCTGTGCAACTTTCCAAACTGATTTACTACAGCTATTGTAAGGTCTCTGTTAAATTCTTGTACAGGGTTGTAAAACACGCCATCTGGAAGCATGACTTCCGCACAGCCTTCTTTAATAAAAGACGTGCTAGCCATACGCACGCTGCACGATATACGTTGAAAGAGCCAGACTGCTTTGCGTACCAAGGTCATCAGGACAGTAGCGCATCAACATCAGACTTAGTTACAAGGACTTCAGTTTAAAATGGCTCAAATGGGATAGAAAACGATTTTTCTTAACGGCTTCCGTATCTAATAGCAGTAGACCACCAATGCCTAGAGGAAGTACCCTAGGTATATTCAAATGGTTCAAATGGTTCAAATGGTTCAAATGGTTGTGGACGGAATAGAAGAAGCTTTCGCTTAACAGGCTTCCGTGTCTAGTAGCAGGGGATCACCAAATCCTCCAGGCAGGAACCTAGGTATGTTAACAATAAAAAGGAAAAGAAATTGGTAAATCATAATGTGATGCTGTCCTTGGTCCTTAAGAATAGGTCAAGTTGCCTCTTGAAGGACTCCTGAGAAGTCGCTTGGACTAGCTCGGCCGGCAGCGAATTCCAGCTTTTGACAACTCTTAAGGAGTAGAAGTTGTGTCTACATTCCGTCTTGCTATGTTGTGTTTCCAGTTTCTGGGTGTTACCCCTTAGGTTATTATTCGAACTAAGCTTAAGTAGGTGTTTAAGAGGATGTCCAGAAGTGTTAAGAATACTGTAAGCCATTAGTAAATCACCTCTAAGACGCCTATATTCTAGTGGGTAAAGGTCTAGTGAACGGAGGCGTTCTTCGTAAGGCTTAGATTTGAGTCCTCGAACTGATTTCGTGGCTCGCCGTTGGATACGCTCCAAAGTGACCTTGTCCTTCTGGAGTGAGGGAGGGAGTACTATGTTTCCGTACTCTAAATGGGGACGGATAAAACTATTGAAGATTGTGTGGAAAGTTCGTCCGTCAAACTGTCCAAAAATGCGCTTCAACGTTACCAGTGCAAGGTTTGCTCGGAAGGCATTTTTGTCACAGTTAGCGTAAGACTTTAAGTCATGGGGCACCAGGACTCCTAAATCTTTTTCGACTTGGGATACTACTAGAGAGGAGTTTCCTAAGTTGTAACTGTAGTTTGCAACATGTCGCAGATGGACTACTTTACACTTTGAAGTGTTAAAGGTAAGTCCGTTATCGTCTGCCCAACTTTGAAGTCGAGTCAGATCCTCCTGAAGTGCCTGTGTATCGTCTTGGTTGCGTATCTCTCTCCAAAGTTTCACGTCGTCGGCAAAAAGTAATAAATCTGACGTTACCTGTTGAGGAAGATCATTTATGTAGATCAAGAAGAGAAGAGGCCCTAGTACTGAGCCCTGGGGGACCCCACTAGGACATTCCATAGCCTGAGATAAAGTGAAATTAACCCTAACCTTAAAGTGTCGATTTTTTAGGTATGAAGTAAGCCAATCGATTAGAGGTGGTTTGATACCTAGTCGTTTGAGCTTGTTGATAAGACATAAGTGGTTAACCTTATCAAAAGCTTTTGAGAAATCAAGGTAAATGACGTCAACCTTTCCCTTGCAATCGAGGATGCTTGTCCATTTGTCCACCGCAGTCAGCAGGTTGGTTATACAGGAGTAACCCTTCCTGAAACCATGCTGTTGGGGTGAGAAGAAATTTAAGGACAGTAGATAGTCATTTAAACCGTCGCATATCAGGGACTCCATGAGTTTTGAAGGTAATGACAGAAGAGCCACCGGCCGATAACTTGAAGGTTCATTGCGTCGACCACCTTTGAAAATTGGTGTGATGTGAGCCAACTTCCAGTTTTCCGGTAATTTGCCTCGGCTAAGCGAGTGTGAAAACATCACGCTAAGCGGCGTTGCCAGGATTGAGGCTGCCTCCCTCAGTATGGCAGGATGAACCATATCCGGGCCAGGAGAAGTGTCAAGTCTTAAGTGCTGCAATTTCCGGAACACCAAGTCAGCGCTTAGGTCCACTTCAGAAAGTCCTGTGGAGTTGGAGATGAAACTGTCGTCAATAAAGTTGATGTCAGCCGGTTGAAATGTTTGAGAGTAATGGGCCGCCAGAAGGTTAGCGGCGTCGCCATCGTTGTTGGTCGGGCCGTTAAGACCTAGCAGTTGAGAAACTCCTGTTTTGGCTTGACGAAGAGAGGCTGCATAACGGAATAAGCTTCTAGGGTTAGAGGCGAATTTGTCCATAAGCTTTGTTTGGTACTGAAGCCTGTCTTCTCTTATAGCCTTCGTGCATGTGTTCCTGATATGTTTGTATTGCCTATACGCTCCATCGTTATTAGTTCGTTTGTATTCCGCCCAACAGTGCCGTTTGCGGCTTAGGAGGCGAAGGGTACGGTTCTTGATTACTGTAGGTGGCTTGAAGCTCTTGGGAACCGTTTGAGGAACTGAATGGTCTGTAGCACATAAGAGCGTGTGCAGTAAAAAGTCCCAATGACCATCCACATCGATTTGAGGGTGAACATCCCAAACGACCTGTTGTAGATAGTCATGTAGAGCTGGCACGTTCAGCCGTTTAAAATTCCAACGCAGATTATTGTTGGGATACCTTAGCTTAGTTTTGATGACAAAACTGAAGGCTATGACGGCATGATCGCTTTTTCCCAGAGGAGCCAGGATTGAGAGGTTGTCGACTAGGAATTCTTCGTTAGTGAATACACAGTCTAAGCGCGATGGTGTCTGACTGTTTCTCCAACGAGTTGCCGACCTCACATTTTCATATAAGCCCAAGTTATCGATGAGGTTGTAGAACCGAGCTTCAATTGAGTTGTCGCCTCCAGTGTACGTGTGTTCCGCGAAGTTGACTCTAGGGAGATTAAAGTCCCCTAGAATCAGTATGTGTGTGAAACCGAGACGGATAGAGCGGGATAGTCCTTCCAGCATACGACTATCGTACTCGGTGTCGGCAGTTGGCTTCCTGTAAATGACTCCGACTAGACACCTGGAAGTACTAGACAATCTTACAGAGCACCATATGGATTCCTCAAGATTGTTAAACTCGAGGTTGTGAACCTGGTGCACCTCCAAGCAAGAGCTTATGTATATGGCTACTCCGCCCCCAATTCCTGTTTTTCTGTCGTTGCGGAACAAAGTCATCCCAGTCAATGCTAACTCTTGGTCCGAGAACTGAGAAGATATCCAGGTTTCAGATATTCCTATCAGATGGGCCTTATTAGCGCTGCTAAGTTCACGTAGTTCATCCAGTTTGTTTGGTAGACTCGCGGCGTTCATATATAAGCAGTTTATGCTTTCAATTTGGAACGCGTGAGCTTCGTCCTGTTTTTCTGTATGAACCTTGTGTGAATGGACAGGTAGCCCACCTATGTGAGGTTTGCCGAGGTGGTAGGCCCTGTCCTTTACACGTTTTTTTTATCGTTTAGACAGTCCACAAGTGGAATGGTCAGCTCCAACTTGCCTTTGTTCTTGGTCCTAACTTCGTATGGCCTATCCGGGTGCATGTGGATTCCAGGTGGCAATCGACGTCTATTAGCACGAAATGCTTCCAGAACTGCAGCCGCCATGTGGGAAGATGGGAAGGTTATCTTCATTAGACGGGGTCTAAGATCACCGTCCTTCTTGGCTAGTCTCGTCACATGCTGAGTCAGTATGTGTTTGAGCCTCAAGGACTGTTTGATGAATTTCCATTCCCTGATGTCAGAATTTGGTTGGGTAGGGTCAGCATTTTCCGGTATACCTTGGACAATTATGTTTCTTCCGCGGAAAAACTTCTCGCGAGATTCTTTAGGGACGTTTCGTATGATACTGCGCTCAGAGTACGGTATGTCGGGCAGTATTCTTACGTTACCATCTGATTTCAGCAAGTGGCTTGCTAGCAAGACGTCCTCTACGTCCTCTACGGTTAAAAGAAAAATATTAAATTATAGTGAAATACTATCCTGAGTCCTTAAGAATCAGTTTCATTTTTGAGAGGACAGGAGACTACAATACCTGTGTTAGTCATGGCAAAAGTGTTCTCTCATTTGGTCAGATTATCTTTTGAAGCACTTGACAAATGGAGCTCCAATCACGTGTTGAGGTAATGAATCCCATTCGATGGGAAAGTCAGTTGTCGGCTTACAGGTAATTTGTTCTAATCTTATGAACTTTATCAATCCTCTTATTTGAAAGACAGGAAAAATATGGACATATAAGATGCCAATTTACCACTAAGTAATTTAAAATCTGTAATCAAGTCGCCTCTGGTTCTTCCACATGAAACTGGAAATATGCTTAGTTAAGCCAGTCGAGCATCATATGGAAGCTTTGTTACTATGGGAATTGGTTTTCTCTTAAAAGACTCCTAACAAGTCACTATCATCTAATGTTTCTCTTTGGAAAAGACTTTGAATTCCTTTACCGTCTGATAAGGATAGACAGTTCGTTGTCTCTAGTCTGGAAATAATGTTTGGTTTTGGAGTTGGTGAAATAAAATTAAGTCTCAGACTTCTCTGCCAATTGAAGGAGGGAGGACAGAGCATAAATCTCGATAGCGAATTCCCTCAAATTTAATATTGTGTCCCGTGAAATAGTGTTATAGATGAACAAACCACAACTCGGGATCACTACTGTAGCGGTAAATAAATCCCCAAAATAAATAGCACTAAGTTTTCGACATTGGATGCTGACCATATGTTTTAGTGGACTCATCTAGCTGAAGGCGCTCGGTCAGGCATCCGCACCAGATCACGTGTGGTAACGCCGTGCTCAACATCAACCGCAATCGCTAGCCAGATTAGATCAGAGAATTCCGATATATTGGTCATCGCCAAATATACTCTTCCGATCTCCTCGACTCTGTCTTTTGATTTCTCTTGGTGGGAACGAAATATATTAGAAGGTGTTACTGGTAGAAGCGTTGTCAAACACTGAATACCTGTGACATCATCATTGGTGAGACCGTCGTGATCTGGTACACCTTATTGCAACTGTGAGTCTGTTCCTTTTTGGGATTTTTATATATCATTGCCTTATTTTTTATTTTTTTTAAACATTGTGATTTTTTTTCGTGTTTTTTTGGATATATATATATATTTCCCCTCGTTCATTATCGTACTTCATATTTCATCATGACTGAACAGACACCTAAAGTACTCAAGCTTAAGACCTTGTCCCCACCTTCGTTTCAACTGATGCCTTTCTGGCCCG